AATTTATCTTTCATCTGCTTCGTAATAAAACATGATTTTCATTTATTAGGAGGCTCGCCTAATAGAAATAAACTACATTAATAGAAGTATTCATGAGGTCGTGTTTTCAAGTGTATGCAATAACATTTGCACGTCAAAAATTAAGAAAAGAATAGTAATGGAAAACAAAATTAGGCTAAGGAGGATGTTGAATCTAAAAGTAAGTGCATGCCAGCCTATATATGGGTCGTATTAATTACCTGTTAGGATCCGATGAGAATATTAGTAGTCAGCAATTGTTAATCAGGGTCCTTATCAAAGCTTCAGTGGTAGATGGAATGTTGACCTTCCAGAGCTCAAAGTCACTGGGGAATCACGAAAAGCCGCATTGATAATTACGTTCTTGAGGCGGGTAATGTTTTTTTCTGTGCTCAACGCTGATTTCAAAAGCTTCTCATCGAAGTTGTCACCATCAACAGATAAGGGTAATAGTTTTTGCTATGTCGATCTGTTGTGAAGAAAACCTAAACGAATTGAAAACAAATATTCTGAGAGTAACGGTCGTTTTGTTTTTAGTTAAAACATCAACCGCGCGTGAAACCGTGTGACTGTCAAAGTTGTTTTTCAATTCTAAAATAGTAAGCAAAAAACATGGAGCTATTCCATAACAATACATCATCAAATCAATCATCGTGTGATTCTGATATATAAACATGATAGTACAAAAATGATCTAATTGTTTTATTTTTTGTCTTTCGTACTTTTTCTTTCCACATTCCTATGGGTTACTAAATAGTTTCTTGTCTAATAATGTCAACTTCAGATGACAGCATAAACAATAACGTAAAAACGTCCAAGACCGACGACCAAACCATGAATTCCGACAGGAAAATCATAACAATCCCTATTTTTTATCCATCTTCAAGTGAAGAAAGCTCAGCTTCTTCAAATTCCTCCAAATCATATAAAACCGTATCAAAAAAAGGCAAGCGAAAGAAAAAAGCCGGAAAAAAATTCAAGTCAAAGAAGAAGAGTAAAAAAGAAGAACCCAAAGAATCTACGGACGAGGAGAAAAAATCCATCGAATCAATTGATCCGTCTAATTGGGATCTTGACTCGTGGGGTGATGTCTACTTGCATGAAGTTCCAGGTGAAGGTGAAGAATATGTAAGTTGATGATTATTTGCACTATCTGATCTTATCAACACACTATTTCTATGAATGAAAAAATGATTTATTGTCCATTGACGAATTTAGGAAGAACCTGCTAAATGGCCTGCTGATCCAGCAATTGTTGAGCTTTCTCGCAAGTATCCACATCTTGTTCTACAACCGATAGCGATAATCCCTGACGTTTTGTATCTCGGAAACTCCGGCACAGCTGCAAGACCTGATATTTTATCTCGAATTGGTATCACGCATATCATCAACATGTGTGAAATGCCGTGTTATTGGCGTGTAAAAGAAAATTATCGTAAATATGAATACAATGATTTGAGTCGACCTATTAAATATTTACGCGCTTATGTTGCCGATCAAATAGGACTTGATTTTGAACCAATTCTTGAGGTAAAATATTATTATTCTTATTCGAGTTTAAATGAATTGTTGTCTTTTATTAATAATTTTTACCGTCTAGGAATGTATTAAATATATAAACAAGGCAAAAGACGAAGGTGGCATCACACTTGTTCATTGTTGGGCGAGTCAAAGTAGGAGTGTTGCAGTGATACTAGGATATCTAATCTCCATTGGAAGACAAAATTTGGGCATGGAAACAGCTAAAATCAGCAATCAGAGACACAAAACTCTAGGGATTAGTTATGTTTTAAAAATACCAACATATAGTTTCATGGATATTTTGTTACGACGGGCAAATATGACAAGATCAGAATTTTTGTCCCAGGTAAACTGCATTGTTCGCAATGTAAAATAATTTAATGTAATAATTCACGTTTTTCAATTATAGTTTCAAGCTTACATTTATGTGCCGACGAATAAGAGAAAACTACTTTCCGACGACGACAACGAGAAAGACGACGACGATGACTTTGGCACGTTTTTTTGGTATTCTCGTGATAAAAAACTTGCTGATGCAATAAAGGTTCGAATAATTATGTCATTCGGAAATTACTATATTTATATTAACAATTTCACGACTTTTTAGAAATTAGAAGAAAAATGGATAAAAGAAATCGAAGAAGATGAACAAGACAAGAAAGAAAAGAAAGAAAAAGAAGGCGAATCGAAAGAGGGCGAGTCAAAAGAAGACCAATCGAAAGAAAATAATGAAATCAAGGAGAAAGATGAAGCGAAAGAAAAAGAAACGAAAGAAGACGAATCCAAAGAAAATAATGAGATTAGGGCCGACGAATCCAAAGAAAATAATGGAGTTATGAAAAAAGACAAAGCGAAGGAAAAAGAAGCGAAAGAACAAAATCAAGGACAAGAATAGATGTACATCTAGAGTACACGCATAAATCCATTATTGTTAAATA